ACAAGCCTATACATCATTCTATGGAGCTTGGTGGCCTAGCCCTTTGGGAGTTGTGCTGATAACCAAAGAAGGCCCTTCACTGACTGTTCAAATCCACCAGCATCACCCCTGGAGAAAGATAGACAATCTCTCATGTAATTAATGACAGCAACAAAAACCTACGGAATATCGGAAAATAATTGATTCCTACTCAATGTCCTGTTTTACTGTTATTGCTTTTAATAGCTTAAACTGTGACAAAAATTACTTAGAAACCCAATATTGAATTAAGGCTTTCCAGAACTATAAATTACACACCTGTTTGATTGTTAATATTGTACAACAGAATAATTTTACAAAAAATCTTCATACTACTAGTCAGTCTTAGAAATAAATTTATAAAATCCCATTACCAGTAAGGAAAGAGAGAGTGAGAACTTTGAAATGTAAAGAATCTCTGAAAATAATTTTAATTTTTTTTTTGACAGAAATTGAAGTCTCAGTCTTCCAGTGAGGTAAGATACATTAATATAAAGATAAAAATACCTTCACCTAGTGTCATATAATATATTCTAGTGAATATTTATATATGACAAGTAATTTTATAGATACTGTAATACAGAAAAGTGTAAGTGCATTCATATTTTTTATAAAACAGAAAAACACCAAAATCTAAACTTTAGATTTATATACTCTTTTATCTTGATGTTCTAAAGGTCTTCTAATATTAATAACTTTAGCTTAGAATGCATAGTGAACATAAGAGATTTTGTGAATAGTATAATATTAAATCTCTTCTATTTCTGGTCTATGGAGTCATGATCATCTGTAGTCATATTGAATATTCATTTATAAATGACTTCATAGAAAATGAGTGTTCAACCAAAGCACAAAAAAATCTATAGTGTTGCTAAAAATATATCTTGATTTCCTTTTTCTTGATGGAAAGAAAGAAAATATAAATTTTACAGGTTATAGATTAAATATAATAACTTTTCTTTCTTCTTTGAGACTGATATTTGGAAAAAGTTTGTGGTCCAATTATTTTTAGCCAAAAGTACAGTGCAGAGTGAATTTAACAATAGCAATATACAGAAAAAGTTCATTTTGTAGAAGGCATAAAAACTTTTATAAACTTTAATTTAGGGGAAATATGATATCTGTGCACAGAGTAACAGTTATATTTTGGCACATATCATAATTTAATGAAATAAGATTTATTTTTCCTTTTCTTTAAGGAATCTTCCAATATTTCACAGGAGGTAAGTCCTGTCATCTTTAACACATTTTAATGTATTTTTTCATTTTATCCTAGTATAAAATTAACATATTTATTTTGTAGAACCTTAAGCAGTACAGGAGTGTGGACGTTCATCCTCATAAGGTAAAATGCAATCATCTCAATATGTTAGTATTTGATTGTTGAAATGCTGTTTTTCATGAAATATGCATCATTTCTTAATTACTCAAAAAGAAATATTATTTTTAAATTGGAGGTGGTAAATGGTGATGGTTCATTGCTTTACAAAGATGCTACGAACTAATAAAAATGATACCATGTAAACATTAGATACTAATGTGTTAAATGATGTATATTCAAAAAATCTTGTGACCTTTCTCACCCATCCTTCCTCTCCTCAATTCTGCACTCTTAGCCACAAAGTCATTCACACTTTGCTATCAGTAACTTTGTGTCAGAGTGCTAAAAAGTATTACAATAAATAGTGCAACTCTCTTAATTATATGTCTTTTTTACTTGTTTAACATTGTGATTGAACATCCAAAAGACAATGTTTAAAAATATTAAAAACTTTGAGCCAAATGTAAATAAACTTAGGTTTAGAAAATTTTTAGACCAAGATTTTTTTAATTAGAATAAACTTATTTCTTCTTATTGAAAGTATACTTTTAAAGTAATCAACTAATACCCTGAATTCACGATGGCACATAACAACAACCCTGAATTCAAAGATTTTTGAAAACTGGAATAAATATTTAGTCATTTCCATTTTGTACTTAGTAGCTTTATCTTTATACTTTACATATTGAATTTTTTCTTTTTTACATAATTTTGTTATGTATAGGTTAATGTGTTTTTTCTAAAATAACTTTTATACTAATATTTATTTGTTTATAATAAAAGCCTAATGCATTTAGTATCTAAAACATATTCATTTTCCCAGTGGTATTTTTCTTATCCACAATAAAATAATCAATGGCTATTTTTGAAGAATTTGAATATTATCCATGTATTTCAATTAATATTGCATATACAAAGGTCCTGACAACTGTACCAATAGGCAACATTATTATAGGTGGAGAAATGATTGAAATTGTCAATAATTTCATCTTATGTGGATCCAGAGTCAAGACCCGTGCATCTGCAGTCGGGAGAGCAGGAGACATATTGCTTTGAGCAAGTGTGCTGTAAAAGACCTCTCCAAAATACTGAAGAGCAATGACATTTGTTTGAAGACTAAGGTGTGCCTGATCCAGACCCTGGTCTTTTCAATTAGTTGCTATGTTTCTGATAGCTGGAAAATTAATAAGGATGACAGAAGAAAAATTGATGCCTTTGAGTTTTGATGTTGGAGAAAAGTACTGAATGGACTGTCAAAACTACCATGGACTGCAAAGGAACAAATAACTACGTCTTGGAATAGGTGCAAATAGAGTGTTCTTTGGAAGCAAGGATGACAAAGTTTCAATTCGCGTATTTTGGGCATATTGCTAGGAAAGGCTATTCCTTACAGAGGGACATCATTCTTGGAAAAGTAGAGTGTCAGTGAAAGAGAGGAAGACGTCTCAACCCAGTGGATTGGCATGGTGACTGCAACAATGGACACAAGTGTACCAGAGATGTTGATGGCACAGGATAAGACAGGGTTCCAATCTTGTCATACATGGGGTCAATATGGGTTATACTTGGCTCCATGGCACCCAACAACAACAATAACAGCAACATTCATTTATTCATTTTACAAATATTTGTGTACAAAACTATGTCTCAGTAATTCATGCAAAAGTAAGACAATAGAATGAAAATCATTCTTACTCTTCTTTCATGAAAGAAAACTGTTCTTTTCATGTTCAAGAGAAACAAAAGGAATTCACTGGGGATATCAGATCTAATTTTTTTTCTTAAGGTAATCACAAAGAAGATGGCTGAGACGGTGAGACATTTTTAATGATTGAAATAATTTTTTGTTTGATGCTATTGATACATAAAGCTATTAATTTAAATGTGGACATATCTTTAAAATGTCTTTATTTTTATAAACTGAAAAGAGATTTATTAAGGCTATCCCTGGCTACCTTAGGGTATTTAAATTGGTCCATATTCTTTTGCGATATTACACTTAGTAAACTATATTTTATCTCTACTATTCAATTTTTAAGAGAGCTCTGATGGCCTTAGTGGTAAGATGCTATGCTGCTATTGTAAAGATTGGCGGTTCAAATCCACCAGCTGTTCTGTGGGAGAGAGAGATGGAAAATCTCCTCCTGTGAGAATTAAACGGCCTTAGAAAACCCACCAGAGGTCAGCTATGAGTCAGTTCTGATTTGACTGCACCATGACCACAATGGGTGGCTTAGTGGTAAGGTACTTTGCTAATGCAGTAATGTGGTTCAGTTCCATCTGGGAGGTAAAAAAGAAACAGTAGTTTCTTTTTCAAAGTCAAGTCAGCCAAAAACCCCATAAATATTGTTTTATTTTTAATACTTTCACTTATTACACTAACAATCATGGGAGTACTGGTATTGTTTGTTGTTCATTGCTGTGGAGCCAGAACTCCTATCGGATCCTCCAAAGAGTTTTCAGAGGCTGTACATCATATAGATGGAGATTACTCATTTTTCTCCCGTAGAGCATCTGGTGGATTTGAACTTTCTGTTTTTGTATTAATATTTCAACTCCTTACCCATTTAGCCACCAGAGCTCCCTTTGTGGATAATAAAAATAAACTAAATAAAATAACAAAATAACTAGGAATATTAGGAGAGTACTGAGAATATATTCTATTGAGCAGATTTTAACTAAAATTTTTAACTATTATTTTTCAAGGAATACTCAAGTTCATCCAGTGCGGTAAGATATACTTTCTTTCAATATTCAAAGAAAATATAAAGGCATATTAGATTCCTAACAGTTAAATAGTATATTAATTTTGTTAAGTCCATAACGTCAACAAAGGTAGTGAAGAAACTCATAAAAAGGGGGAGGGAACTGCTTGCTTGCTGAGATACAATGTCATTTTGGGAGACTGAAATTGGCTATCTACAGTATATGTATTAATTTCTAGGGTTTTTCTTAACAAAAGATATCAGATATCTGGTCCTAGAGAAAAGTGTAGTTTAAATCAAGTAAGTGCCAAATTAAGAACCCGCTGATTAACTCCAACATAGTTTATGCAAAGAATCTTCACAATAATGTTCAGAACCAATCTGAAACCAAATGCAATACTGTCATATTGATTCTAAATCATAGTAACATTGTACAAGAGTAAAACTTCCTAAGACAACAAATCCTTAAGGAAGCAAACTGCCACACCTTATTCTTTCTCAGAACAGCTGCTGGGTTCAAGCTGCCAACATTTTGATTAGTGAACATGCTAATTGTGTTACCAGGGAGAATGTATTCAAGGCTATGAATAGCAAAGTGTTGGCCATGGACCAGCAGCATCAATTATGGTATTCTGATAAAAGTTAATGATTGAGAGTTTTTTATTAAGGATGTTGATTGAGGTAGTGAGTTAGGAGTTGCATAGCTCATAGTTGATCTTGTTAGGAGCAATTAGGTTAATTCTAACTTAGAGTGAATTAGTCTAAGTGCACAAGTATCAGGAAATGTACCTCTTTCTTAAATATGCTTGCATTATTGTGAGGGGTTTATTTTTTTCTCTTCAAGGCATTAGATAATGAGATAATTTCTTTAACTCTGCATTCTGTATGCTTATATACAGTCATAATAAATTTCATTAAGTAAATAAATGTTTCTTTATTAACTAAAATGTTGTTTTGTCACCTTCCAGGGTTTATCTAATTAAATAAAGTTCTAGTTTAATGGTTCAATGAAGATCTGCTGATCCATGGAGGAGATTTAATGCGGAAGTAAATATTGATAATTTTCTTTTCCTTTAGGACAAAATCAACCCATTTTATCAGAAGTATTACTTCCCTAAGTACCTCCAGGATTTTTGCCAACAGTTCATTCTGAAACCAAAGAATGACATTAAGACGATCAATGATCCCCTTTTTTCTACTGTGGTGAGTCCTGCAGTTTTGTTTAAGTTGGGAGTAGCACTTAAGGGAAATTACTAGAAACAGACTGGACACAGTACATTCTAATTTAGAAAATAAAATTATTGTAAGTAATATCTTGTACTCCAGAAATGAAATCATAAACAATATAGTAAAAATCTAATTAACATGCAACAATATTAACAGTAGTGACAAATAAGCAATTACATTTGCATCAGCATAGATTTCCTAAATATTTGCTGCTGCCATTTTACTTGACATCTTAAATTATTCTTTAATGTAAGAAGAGGTAGAAAACATCATTTCAGTGTAACAACTACAACACAAAAAAAGTGAAAAGTGAAGTGCCTTGCTCAGATTCCATTATATGTTTTCCACTGTGTTTCACAGAAGTTTTGCTTTAAGACACTTTTTCTAATATGGGGGATAAACAACACCAAAGGTCTTTTGTTGTTTTCCCCTCACCATATGTAGACCAGAGAACAACTCTTCAGCAATGAGGTAAGATACTTTACTATGAAGAACACTCTGATAACTATTGTTATATTATACATTCTATTACTAAAACTCAAATTCACCATGTTGAGTTGATTCCAACTCATAACAAGTGTCCATGGGATTTCCTAGTCTACAAATCTTAACACAAAGAGACTACATATCTTTCTACCACCTCTAGAATTATATACTGTTTTGGGGGTGTTTTTTTGGGGGGGATGTGTGTGTGTTTTCTTAGAGAATATTTTCTAAGCAATAAATTTAGATGTACAAAATTAGAAAAATCATTGAAGTGAGTATTCTACAGATAAAAAAATTAAAGAACAGATTAAAGATTCAAGGATTTTTTTTCTATAATTATATTTTATTAATTTTCATAAACATTTACAGAGATTTTGGGCTTCCACTCATTCATTGTTGCACTATTCTC